CTTTCTCCCATATGACTAGTCTACTTAGATGCATAATACGAACTATTAACATCGCCTCTCCACATTCCATTGACGTACTTATTTAAGGTCTCACATTCCCCTCACTACGAAAGATAACCTCCTGATACAGAAAACTTGACTTGGCCCTCGTGTTTTTATATCATGTGTATGTGAAGCGTATGGGAACTTAGACTTATCCCATCGCACTACCCTTAGCCCACACTTTCACTTTGTCCTCAAAATGAAGAGATGGAAGCTGCCATGTCATGCTTCTTTCTGTAGTTCTTCAATAACTTTATCGACTAATGGTTGCTTGCCCAAAATTGCTGTTGGGCTTAGTTTAGCTCCATAGAGGCACTTAACTGAGTTCGTAATGGGAAGGGATGAGAGTTAGAACCTTTGGCCAACCTCAACTGTGAAACATAAAATCTTGAGTGAACAGTAGTTGTACCAGGGACCTCCTTATGATAGGCAAGCTTACCAACTGTCTGACATATAAGATAGGGACCATGCTATTGTAGGGGACAGGTTATCATTCCCCTTCTTGCCACTGGCCTGTCTGCGAGAAAGATGAACGAATATACAAGTTCATCAGTCTTTTGAAATTGCTAGCTCTCTTCATACGGTCTACATGCATGCCTAATCTATACTGTTTACATCACTCTTGATGTACACTCGCCTGATACATTACCATCTGTCACATGCTTATAATCATAGCTCAAATTCCTTTGCTTTACATCATAGGATAATGCATGCAACTCTTTCTTCTTTAACAATGTTGATTGGTTTCCTTTACAACCAAGGTATCAGCCAGATTTAACTGTTAGGGCCCAGTACAAGAAAACATAATTCTGAGTAATAAAGAAAATGCGTATTGAGATGCATCCCGAAAGGACGGTCTACTGTATCAATCATTTTGCAGGGTGATAGGGGCCCAAGCTGAGCCATTCATTTTAGTTGGCGAACTTGGCTTAGTTACCTCTCCATCTCTGGCCCCGTTTAAAGCAAAGCCCATTCTCTTACTTCTTCACAAATCACAACTCAAATATAAAAAAAAAGTTTGCAGATAGCATATCTTTCTTGTACCAATCACTTGCAACTCTAACTTCAATTAATTGTGGCTGCAGTCCTTTGAGCGAAAGTGCTAGCTCAGTTGGCTCTGGTTTGACCACTCCTGCATCACAATCTGGGTGCATGCCAATGCCTGAGGTATTCAAACTTGCATTATCCAGCTTTAAAGTATGTGACTGGAGCGTTTTCGGTGCAAACGGTTGAAAGACGAGATAAGTCTTGGCCTTCATTATTCTCATTTCATTTGGATGTTAAAAAGTAGCCAAGTAAGGTGAGTGATTATAAGTAATGTTCCTGCTGCTCTCTTCAGTTTGAAATTGTTTGTAGAGTTTTTAGGGGTGTCATTGTCGTTGGGTTTTGATTTTTACTGTATGGGAAGTAGTTGAAGAAGTTGAAGATATGTGAATGGTAGAGAAGTGAGTAGGCAAGCCCGTGCAGGATGCGGCAACCCCCTTTAAGGTGGACATAATAGAAGAAGCATTAGCTGTGTACATAAGGACCCCATATTTTGCACCAGTCAATCACGTGGCAAACAAAAGGTTTGAATATTACACACCACGACTGACTGACTGGCCATATTATGTGTTTTCACACATGCAGCGGTGACCTCTTCTGGGGGAAAATTAAATTATTGGTGGGCGTTTTACATCAAATTATTGTCTAATCTTCTAATAATTGCGAAAGAAACAGCTACCCCCCTTGAAATTACCTTTTCCTGGTAAATTTTCAAATTTTTTAGATAAGAATCTTGACTTTTGATGACTCGTTTTTATAAACTTTAAATGTTTATATCATTAAATACAATGCTACTTTTCTTTTTTCTTTTTCTTTTTTTTTTTTTCTTTTTGTAATTGTAATGGGCAACGGAAAGAAACGATCGAGCTTTAATTAAGCAAAGATTAGGAAGGAAGGGAAGGTTTAAAAAGGCATAATTGTAATTATTACAGCACTTATCACCACCTCCAATGGGTCTAGAGAGAGAGATTATTATTTATTATTATTATTATTTTCATATTTTCATATTTTCATATATATAATAACAATAATAAAAGGCATTGTGAGTTGATAGATGAAAAAAGCGGGAAGAAGAGTGGTGGTCCTGGACGACATTCCATTTAAAGCGGAAGTTGGGAGATGGGGCCAATGCCCAATGCCGGATGGGCGATGAGTGGAATTATTAGCGTAGCCATGTGGGTTGCCCCCTCCCTCCACACTCCGCCCCACGGCTCGACACTCCTCTCCCTCCCATCCCATTTTTGCTCTACCACTACCTATCTTCAAATGCTTTCATATTAATTTTATCTCATTTTTATTTTTATATTAACTTTATATCTTATTTTGTACAAACAAATAAGTTTTTATACAACTTTAGTTACTTCAATTTATAATCATAAAATTATTATTTAAAATGATATAATTAGATAAAAAATAATATAACTGGTGGGGTCCAAGACATATGGGTATAGTAAAGGAATTATATTATTCCAAAGTTTTAAATAATTTCCAGCCCACAAATAGTTGACAATAATTAATGAAATTTGTTACATAGTGGAAGTCAATTCCACAAAGCTTTGAAGATAGATATGGATTCATGGTGCTCCTTCCGACACATCTTTCTTTCTATTTTCTTCTTCACCTCCGCATAATATAATACATGTAATAGTAGACGATTTAATATTAACCATTCACAAATTAGATATATTATAGTATACACTTCCTCGTAACAGAGACCATAAATATGGTCAATAGATATCAATTTTTTTCCATTCACTTATTAGGTATGGAATTGGAAATAAAAAATTTATAAAAAAAAAAAAAAAGTGTGGAAAAATTTCTGTGAATTTTCCAAATTACAGAAGAAGCCATCCCCGGCGAAGGTTCGTCGGCTGCAAATATTGAATTTTATTTTTCTTACTTTTTCTTTAATGTTATGATATTATATATATATTAATTGTTCTTTTGTTTATAAAATAGTAAAATAATGATGTTGATATGATAAAGAAAAAGAAAAATAAAATAAAAAAAAGAAGGTGTGAAAGTGTTTAGGTTTGTGGTCCTTATTGGCCTGCCAGCCTGTCATTCATACTATTTACAAAAGCAATAATCATATGCTAAATATTCTCCTAATCATAGTAACGAATTTCTAAACTGATACATAATCATCATTCATGTTAAATTAGTCCTACAAAACCATAAATTATAAAATTAAATTTGGAGTTTTTATATATAAATAGCATAAAAATAAATAAATAAAAGAACCGGTTGAGATAATTGATTTGACTAAAAACAGTACGAAAATGATATATTTATGGCCTCTTTAACCACCAACATTCCCACAAAAATTTAAACTTTTTCATTGATTCCCTTTTCTTTTCTATATTTCAGAGGGGATGCATAATGCATGTAGTAAGGTAAGCCATCGTGTTCACATCCACAACATTGCACGTGATATCTTACCCATCAAACTTGTTCTTTTCGGTTCAACAATTTCGTAATGGACGTTCACATCTCTCAGATTGCCTCGACCTTTCTATGTAGAAAATTTTAGTTTTAGATATGAGAACACATTAAACTATTTATGTGGTGAGACCCTGACAACCAAGGTGACCAATTATAAAGATTATGGATATTAATTTCGAAACTCAAATGGGAAAAATGAAATAACGTGTAGCAGAAGGCAGGTGTGTTGTAAAAGTAAATATATGAGGGGAGGGGAGGGGAGGGAGGTAGGTGGGTTTTTTTTCACAGACAGCATGATTGTGAGGAGTCATTTTTAGGGTGGTATCCAGAGGCAACGTGATTATGTCGTTGCCTATAAGTGACAATGCATGAGACAAAGGTTTTGGTGTTATTGGCCCTACCAACTACACTCCCAAGTATTATCATATCTTCTGACCCTAAATCTCTGTACTTCCCACCCATTTTCCTTAACCGGAAACAACCCTTTAATCTTATGATTAGTTTTTAATTAATCGGACTCCAAACGAATCACTCATCATTTGGGTCATTTGGGTTGGGTTGGGCACAATCTATTATCACATCACTCCAGCTCGTTTATGTGTCTCCATTTTACGTTACATTTGAGAATATTGTGCACATGGTCTTTATCTTGAGTGTTCTATGTTGGATCCCAATATTAATTATTTCCAGAGTAAAACTTAGTTTGAACTTGAAATAATGAAGTAACGGTTTAAAACAAAAATTGACGTAAGAATCGTGAATCTCACATCTTTTTAAGCGTCGTGCATATTGCAATTTTTAAAAGAATGTAATTTCGGGTGAATATTGATAGCGTTGGAATAAAATTAAAAACAAAAAGGTGATGATGAAACTGAATTCAAAGCTAGTGAGGCATTTGTCCTGACACCCACATATCCCCATATCTAAAGCTGCAAAAACAATATGCAGTGTAAAAATACGTGTAGAGAAAAAGAAAAAGAGGCAAAAGAGAAGAAGCGTTCTGCCCAACAAACAACTCTGCTGAGATATAGTGATGTAATTAATCATAATTAAGGTTCATTAAATCTGTGGTGGTTAATATTATTATACACAAAAACTGTGGACACTGAAAAAGGAGACGGCCAAATTGGATGGTGGAGAGGTGGAAAAAAGGGCCACTTTGGGTATGGCTCAAAAGTAATAAAGACATGAAATTTATTAGAAAAGAGAGGTATAGGATTATCCTGTCCCATCCCCTTTTGATTCTACTGCATCCACACTTTGTTAGATTCCCCAAACAATGGTATCATATCATGATTAAGATGATGAAGAGTAGTAAGCTTTGATCAGGAGAAGGGGAAGGGGGGGAATTTCAAGAAAGCTGAAGCCCTGGAGTGGCAAAGTGAAAAGGAGAAAAGGGTATGGAATGCAAATTACATGAATGATGATAGGAATGATATGGGAGCCACATGCATGATGTTTACATATATTACCACTCACTCACTCACTCACTCTATTATTATTATTTTTGACTTGGCTCTTGGGGACCCACCACACTATATCTTTAAACACACATATACCTAATCCCTCTAATCCTTTACTACAATCACACAACACTAGAAAAGTCTACATATGTTCGGACAAAACCCTAATTTCAGAAATCCCACTCATTATTTTTGTTGCTTAAAGCTTGCTTGCCCACTTCTCTCCTTATCTTCTCTCTCTATTTGTTGTTGTTGTTGTTGTGTATGTGTGTGGATCAAAAGGAGGAAGCTTTGAGAGACACGGCTGCCAGCTCCTATCACTAGTAGGCCACTATGTGATACGATCCAAGGGTCACCCGGAACAAAAGGGTTTATGTTATTTGGGTTTCAGGGGGGGGGAAGAAAAAAAGACAAGACAAGAGTCTACGCATATGATCATGGATGGTGAAAATGGGATCCGGAGACCTAATTTTCCATTACAATTGTTGGAGAAAAAAGAGGAAGAACACCCATGTTCCACCTCCGCAAACAACGGAACAACAACAACCACCACGACGGTGAATCCGAATCTTCAATCTTCTTCACCTAAGAAGCCACCTCCCAAAAGGGCTACCACCAAAGATCGTCACACGAAAGTCGATGGTCGTGGTCGGAGGATTCGGATGCCGGCCCTTTGTGCTGCTAGGGTTTTTCAGCTTACTAGAGAGCTTGGTCATAAGTCCGACGGTGAAACTATAGAGTGGCTGTTGCAACAGGCGGAGCCGGCTGTCATCGCCGCCACGGGTACAGGTACAATTCCGGCTAATTTCACCTCGCTTAATATTTCTCTCCGTAGTTCCGGCTCCACCGTTCTTGCTCCTTCTCACCTCCGGACGAGCTATTTCAGTCCGACACAATTCGCCGTCAGAACAAGATCTGATCTTTGGGATAGGAGTAATAATAATAATAATCATAATCATAATAATAATAATAATACTCTGGTGGATGATTCCTCTACATTTTTTAATTTCAATTCTCCTAATTACATCAACGCATTCAAGCACGATCAGGGTGGGATTGATGTAACCGACGCTGGAAAGAAACGGCGGCCGGAGAATTCGGAATCGTCATCGGAGAATCCGGTGGGGAATTATTTGGTTCAATCGAGTACCGGGTCGATTCCGGCGAGTCACAGCACTCCGGTGCCGGCAACATTTTGGATGGTGACGAATCCGAGCAATCAAGCGAGTGATCCGATGTGGACATTTCCGTCGGTGAGTAACAGCAGCATGTTTAGAGGGGGAAGCGGCGGCGGTGGCGGTGGTGGCGGCGGGGGGTTTCATTTCATGAATCTTCCACCACCAATGGCTCTTTTGCCAACTGGGCAACAAGTGGGGTCAGGGATCGGGGGTGGTAGCGGTTGTCCGGCGACCGACACCCATTTGGGGATGTTGGCGGCTCTGAGTGCTTATAGGACGATACCGGGTGTGTCAATTTCAGAATCTCCGACAAGAGGAGCGGCAGCTGTTCATCGAGGTGGAAATGAGGCTCATGATTCCACTTCTAATCGTGATCAATCATAGACCCACAACACATCTCACACAACGTGTATGCTCGCTGCTTTCAATCCTAATATATACTTTCTTTTCTCTCTACTTCTATTCATTCATTTTCTCACTAAATGTACATATCATATTGATGTCTATTTTTATATTTCTTAATTTCTTTTAATAGAGGGAAAGAAGTGGATTATTTTTTGTTTTGAATTTGGGAGCTTTGATAATCCTTGATGTTTTGATCGAGTTGGATGAACTATGTTAAGGTCGACGTATTTGTATTTGATTATGTGTATTTGGCGTCATGGTCACGGCATATTGTTTATTATTATATTTGGTTGAGCATTGAGTAGGTACATATTTGGGTCATTTGTCCGAAGTTGTAGCATGGTAGAGGTTATTATAAATTGAATGAATGGTGAGATGAGAGTGGGCAAGAATATTGAATGATGGTCATTGGACCATAGTACTGTCACAGACAATTTATGCATTTATGCACCAACAAAACCATATGACCACTGACAAATTGAATACCGCCCGAGTGAAAACGGCAATTTTTTTTTTTTTTTTTTTAAATAACTCAAATTCAGCCTAATATTATATGGTCCATTCATTACATAAAATAATCAATTTAGCATATGATCCTGATACAATTATGTTAAGAATGAGAAATAGAAATAGAATTGGAATTATGATCTTCATTCAGATTTACCACGTTATACCTAAAAATAGAAAAAAAAAATATATAACTAACTAAATCTTGTAAATAAATAAAATATACGGTTAATCAAATCTATAGTAACAACTCCCTAAATATCTCACATATATTCTAACTAATTATTACTCCAAAATATCGTCTTAATAAATTATTTATGAACTTTAGGACGAACAACAGTTGCATAATGTTTTATGATGATGCTATATATTCAACTCTCAATTTCAGAAAGGTAAAAGCAAATGCTCAGTCTTCCTTGAATGAAAATAAAAGTTAAATTAATAGAAATGTCGAACTTAAACTCTGCCACTAAAATATCTCTGAACTTTTAAACGTTTTAATAATATATTTAAACTTAAAAAAAAAAATCAAAATACTCTTCAATTTTGAGAGTGTATAAAAAATATTATTGAGTTTTCAAAACTTTCATTAATACACATCATTTAAAAAAAAAAATACTTTAAGCCATTTAAAAAGTTCAAAAGTATTTTTAGTTAGTACCACGTTTCAAAAATACTCATAAATTTTGAAAAGTAATATTAAAAAAATTAGAGATATTATATGAGACTTCGATAATTTTCTTTATTATATTTATAATAAGAAAATTTTTTAATGTTTTTTTATAAACTTAGAGAGTGTTAAAACTACTTTAAAATTTCATGAATATTTTTTAAATACAGTTCTATACTAGTGGAAGGGTATTAATAATTTTTTTTTAAATGATTAAGAGGTAAAAAGATATTTATTTTTTTTTTAGATTTTTTTGAAATTTTAAGGGTAAACTTTGGATTATTTTTTTTAGTTAATTTAGCTAAATATAAAAAATGCAAATAGGAGAGGGTAAAGAGCACGTGATTTACACGGTCAAAGGGCCGAAGCAGACTCATATTGGGCTTTTTCTGCAAAGCCCATAAGCAAATAGGCTACGGGTTGGGCTCGGGCTCAGCCTCACCACAGTCTTCTGGCAAGGGCTTTTAAAACCTCGTATTAATACACCACAAAACTTCCCCCCACTTCGGCGCTTCTCGTGTTTAGGGCTTTTGATCGAGATCGCGGTCGGGGCTGAAGCCGCTGCAGGGAAGAAATCATGGTGCACGTCTCCTTCTATAGGAACTGTGAGTATACTCATCTCAGCAACTTCCTGAAACTGCATATCTATCCTCGCTTTCTTCATATATATGCTTCCTTTTAATGCCTTTAGTTTTTGGATCTTCTATTTCTCTTGTGATTTTCATCTGGTTTTCTTTTGCACATGTTAGGCTACTGGGTTAGTCCTATGTTAGATGGAACCAGTGGGGAACGTCTGTTTCGGTTTACATGATCGTGATATTAGAAACCATGGGGCCTCAGATTTCTAGAATTAATTTTATTGTGCTCGAGAATCTTCCCTGTTCTTTCAAAATTTTATTCACTTCATTTTATGATGGTCAATATATGGCATAGTAGGTGGTGTTACATTAATTTTTCCAAAAATGTTGCTTTACATAATGTCTGTTTCTTGGTTCTGTTGCTGAGAACCATGATTACTGAATAGTGGCCTCTTTCATTATATAGATGGGAAGACTTTTAAGAAACCTCGACGCCCTTATGAGAAGGAGCGTTTGGATGCAGAACTTAAACTTGTAGGTGAATATGGGCTTCGTTGTAAAAGGGAGCTGTGGAGGGTTCAATATGCATTGAGCCGAATCCGTAATAATGCCAGGATGCTTTTAACTCTTGACGAAAAGAATCCCCGTAGGATTTTTGAGGGAGAGGCCCTGCTTAGGAGGATGAACAGATACGGTCTTTTGGATGAGAGTCAAAACAAGCTCGATTATGTCTTGGCTCTTACTGTCGAGAATTTCCTAGAGCGTCGTCTTCAAACTCTCGTGTTCAAGTCTGGAATGGCCAAGTCTATCCACCATGCCAGAGTGCTCATCAGACAGAAGCATATAAGGTAGAGTGTCTTCTTTCTGCATTGTAGCACTTGTACTTCTTACTCATCAATGTATATCAACATCATCTGTTTGTAGTTATTTTATATAACATACGCTTAAGTTACATAGTTGGTTTCATATATGCCCCTCCGGCTTCAAAAGCTTACTTTTTTACCAATTAGTTGGTTTCAATAAAATTCTGGTTTGGCAATTGCGCTTCAGCTATAGACGTTTAGGGTTTAAGAGGAAAAAGGCAACTGATTTTTCTTGTATTCGCCCTTTCTTATTATTATTAACCAGCGGAATATGTGATCTTCCGAAATCAGTGGTCAAAATGTAAGGCGGGTCTTGGAAAATGATCAGATATCACGAATTAGCTACTCATGTTATGTATCACCAGGAGGGCAACTGTTAACTAATTCTTGTATTTGTTTATTTCACGGATGAATTTAAGTTTTTTCCCCCTAGACAATTGAGAAGTTCGATTGTTAATTGAATCATTTATTACAGGGCATAACTGAAACCAACCCTAATATTTATGGGGTATTTTAGGCACTTCAGCATTCTTTTTTTCTTTAGCTGTCTTTAATAGTTTTTGAACCATCTATGAGATTCTTTACGCTGGATAGACAATTGTTGTGCGATGAATATAGACTCTGAAACATTGATTGCCCATGTTTTCATCTATTACATTTGGTTCATGTGCATTTTTAGGGTTGGGAGGCAGGTAGTTAACATCCCTTCTTTCATGGTAAGAGTCGATTCCCAGAAGCACATAGACTTCTCTCTCACTAGTCCGTTTGGAGGTGGACGCCCCGGAAGGGTGAAGAGAAAGAACCAGAAGGCAGCTGCCAAGAAGGCCGCAGGTGGTGATGGAGATGAAGAAGATGAAGATTGAGTTTCTGACTTAAAACTCATCATCTGAGACAGTAAAGATTTGCCAATGGTCTCAGGTATCTGAGATTAACCTTTGTGTCCTATTTCCTCCTCCAGCTAAACCTATCTTAATATTTTTCACTTAAATCTTATTTGTTTTTTGGTGGTGGGACTAGTTTTCAATTTTGGACAAGCTTCTCTTCGGACTTGGTTGACATAGTTTTCTTGCCATGATTGGACTTTTTTACTCAAAATTCCTCCGCATCTTGAATGTATTGAGTTGATTTGGTCTAATCTAGCAGCTCAGCTTGTTGTATCTAGAAATGTGATCCGTTTCAAGATTTCAATGAATTTTAATTCCTAGGCTCGCGAGCTCTTGAAATTAAAATCTACTTCCAACAGATGAAGATAGCTAAGGATTAAAACTTTAAAGCATTATATTGTTATTTGTCATAACGTAAACATCGATGGATTATTTAAATCCTTTGTCAAGGACAGTATCTCAATATTAAGATTGTCTTATTCTTGTGTTACAACTAGCTATCATATTTACACTTATCGCAAGTTTTCATGGGATACTGAAACAAATAAGCATTTGGATTATTGAGAATTAGTAACCTAATCAAAGGTATATATATATATATTCTCGTACCCAGGGTCTTTCAAGAGTGCAATATGTGTTAGAAGTCAGCTCTATTGATTGAAAATGGCTGAGCCTAAGAGAGTTGAGGGTTGGAATAAGAATCTACCATGGAAAGGCTCAATTATGAAATTTTCTTTAGGGCGAAGTATCTATAATATTATTGAATTGGAACACTAATTATATATATATATATATATATAGAATTATTAGTGTGGAAAATGTTTAAAATTTTTATCTGATAAAGTAATTGAGCATGTTTTCAAAATGCAGAATTTTTTAGATTATATGGCTTATATTATACCACATAAGAATAAATGTGTGGAGTTAAAAGAGTTTACGTGTTAGTAACAGCAAACTCAAGATGATGAGGAGGAGGAGGAGGAGGGGTAAAAACGTAAATGCACTCGTCCCGACAGGGTGGGTGATGAGGAGGAGGAGGAGGAGGGGTAAAAACGTAAATGCACTCGTCCCGACAGGGTGGGTGATGAGGAGGAGGAGGAGGAGGGGTAAAAACGTAAATGCACTCGTCCCGACAGGGTGGGCAAAGGGCAGATATGAAAATATGTGATGAGGATTGGACAATGAACGTTAACAAAATGACACAACATTATTAGGGCCCAATATAACAGCTTGGGCCCAACTCCCACATCCCTATCTCCATTACTTCCTTCCTTCTTTGCCACAATTTTCCTATTTTCAATATATATATAAATTATTTCTAACCATTTTTTATTTTTTATTTTTTATCCTCCTAATAATTTACTCTTTTATTTATAAGTTTTTCGTATAGTGCGCATTTTATTTGCACGTATTAAATCTAAATCCTACTAACCTACTATTTTAGTGGGGAATAGTCCAACTTTCGAAATATACTACAATGAGGTGTCGAACTTTCCTATGTTCTTGGGGAAGATCAACATGTTATCTCTAGAGTAATTTGTATCCGTGGACTCACGATCCTTCCACTCAACACCTTTGAACCACTAAAGTCGACTTTCGCCTCTGCTCGATTGGTGGGTCTTGCAGTCAAGCTCCCTTCTACTTTGTACTCGAGGGCCATTCTCTGTCTAGTCCGAATAAACTTTCCAGAGGCCTTCGCTCTAAAGACTAACCAATTGAATTATTTATTACGTTGTTTCATCCCATTTCATACTAATTTGCATTATGAGAAGTTAGGTAGGACTGAAATTTAGAATGAAAGCAGAGGAAACTCAATATAAACAGTAGAGCGCTTCTTCGTATTTTACTGTTCGTATCTGTATGTACTTTTTATTCTATCTTTAAATTTAATCTTAAGCCTTAACAGTTCTTGGTATTTCTCATCCATGCCGGATACCGTAAGTCCCAAAGCTTCTGTTTTTATGTTCGCCGGACGGCGTTCAGTCCAGTTGAGACAGGTATTTGAATGGCAAGCATATGCCCTCACAAATCGCAATCTTTCTAAAAGAAAAGAAAAGAAAAGAAAAGAAAGAGATTGGGTAGCGTTGGAGAGTCGATTTGATTCTAAAATGATTAAAACCAGAGCGAGACACCCATCAGAGACAGATCTCAGAACAGAGATGACGAGTTCCAAGAGCTGAATACTCTGTTTTTTTGCTTAGTTTTTGAATTCTTACAACATTGAATTTAGTTGTACCATATAATTTTGGTCTACACAAAAAGCTGGGAGTGAAACAAGGTGTAGTAATTGGCAGCCTCGTCTTCCAACTCCCACAACGCATCACACAACGCCACTCCATCCATTCCTTCACCCACCACAAACTCACTGTTTGGAATCCCAAGCTCATCATCCGAAGCTTCCAGAAGGTGTCTCATCACTCTCTCTCTTTCACCGCCCTCTTCCTCGTTCACAGACGAAGAAGAAGAACAACAACAAGAAGCATAATCTTTTACTGATCCACACTCTGCGCTTGCCGCCGCCTCCTCCATCTCCGCCTTCTGGGTGTTGTTCTGTTTCGAAATTGGATGCCATTTTGTGGAACATGGAGAAGAAGAAGAAGAAGAAGAAGAAGAAGAAGATATTTCTTGCTGGAGTGAGCTGATGATCGACGACAAATCCTCAACAGCTTCCTCTTCCTCTTCCTCCAAAAGGGATAGGATTTGGTCGTATGATTTCTGCCGTTTTAGCTCTTCCCCCTCGCTCATCTCCTCCATCTGGGCCTCATCCCTTTGTCGTTTGGATGCCATTTTTTCTTCACAGAAAACCCAAAACAACAGAGAGGATATGAACAAGATGAGGAGAGAGAGTGGAGGATGAGGAAGGTTAAATAGAGGAAGAAACAGAGCTCGAGGTCAGATATTTTATTACACTTCAAATTCAATGTGGCCTACCGAAGAAAGATGCCGAATTAATTAATATATGTTATTGCGCGCCTCGTGAGTTGTTGCACTTGGACTCACTGAACTACAAAAATTAATTCAAAATTGCGCATATGGATATAGATAAACCCCGAGATAGCTATCAAGACAACGACAACCGATCTTCAACGAAAAACAGAGTCCTCTGTTCTGAGCTCTACTGTATTTCTCTGTTTTTTTTTTCTGTTCATCACCCACAAATTAATTGAATTGAACCCACAATTTGGAGTTTAGGGTAAATAACAAATCTTAAAAAAATGGAGGTCCATGGATCCAATGGATCCACTTACAATCAACATTTGACTAAACCAAAAACAGGACAACCAAATTTTTTTTATTATATATTGTGTCGGTTTGTTAAAGAGACAGAGACAAAGACAGACAGAAAATGTTAATTAATCGTCACACGAAACTTCCTAGAGTTCATTAATTCATTATGATTATGATTAATTAATTTAGAGTTTGGATTAATGAAGGAGGGAAGATTAATAATAATAAAATGAAGATGGAAGAGAAATGATGAACAGAGTTGGTGGTAAATTACGGCATTGTTGGGATTTGTCAGATTGTGCTTTTAATACATTTTATAATTTCAACGTAGCACTATGTGTTAAATCATGTGACTTTATGCTAAAATGTCACATGATTCAAAATATAATAATAATAATAATAATTTCAAAACAATATTACAAATGGGTGTGACATGAAATTGTGAGAGAATTTGGTTGCTACTTTCCATAATGGTGGAGCTGTGTATCTCAACCACTCAATTTATTCAACCGATTTTGTTTATTTCATAATTCTTTTAATTAATATTGATGAAATTTCGCAAGAAATTAATATACTCGAGAAATGCTAAAAGTAAGTCAAGTCTGCCTTCATCTTCAAGTTCCTTTGCAACTTACTAATTATTTATTTATTTTTAACTTTAAAAAAATAGAAATTAAGAATACTTTTTTAATAAATTATATTCTTGGAATAAATAATCTCGGTTGAAGCTTGGAATTGATTCTATGCTCATCTTTTTGTTTTCTTTTTTTCCTTGACCAATTTTGGATGCGTTGTTTTGGGTAATTATATTTTATGAAATACTATGGTCTCTCCTAATTTTGATTTTTATTCCCTTAGGCAAATTGAGTGGTTATGAATAAGTTTAATTAATCATAGTGATTTATTAATTAATACTCAAACCGATCGTATCTTATCTTAAGAGATCTTGAAAGGCCAAAAGTGGTAGTGTTACTTATGTGCAAGGGCAGTATACACTGGGAACTAATAGCATATGAAAAAAAAATTATTAAATTAAATAATGTTTGGATTTGTTGGAGAATCTTAACCCATAAACATATTGCTTTCTTAAGATTGGTCAGCACAATTGATACATGGTCTCCAACCGACCATAGGGATCAAATTCAAACAAGTTTTTATAATATAAAAACATGGAGTTATAAGTTAAGAATCATAATTCTCCACAATAATATGATATTTCTTATTTATAACTTTAATTTGTGTAACCAACCCAAAAACATAGAGTAAATATATTCCTTTGTGGGTGTGCTAAAGCTCATAACTTCATAACCTCATAGCTCATAGCTCATACCTACTGGGCCAACAACCATTTTGGGCTGCTGTCCAATTTTTAGCCCATTTTCTATTGGAATTAAGAAACTCAAGAACTCGCTACAAATATAATCCTACGATAATAATTTAAACAAATATTCAAATATTCAAATGGTTAGAAAAGAGTAAACTGTAGATTAATTTTAAAAAATAGTGTTAAGTAGATATAGTGTGTGAGCACAACAAATTTAATAGATCAAAATTAGGTTTGTTAGATTGTATGTGTTTTGGTTTTGTTATAAAAAAGGAAATGTATAAAGTCATATGAGTGAATGACAACTGAAGATGGAACTCTAAATTGCATGCTCCAAATGGGTGGACAAAGACAAAGACATAGGCATAGACATATAGAGGTAGGCAAAAAAAAGTGTTAGGTATGTCAAAGATAGGCATTATTGTAGAGAGCCCAGAAAAAGGGATGTCTAATAATAGGGTGGAAGCCAAACCAAACCAATTTGTAAGCAAAATCCAACAAAGCTTCCAATTGCGTTTAACTCGATAGAAACCAAACATAAAGCAAAACCAGAGAGAATTATACGTTTACCCATCATTTTCCATTATAACTTATTTCAGTTCTCCAATGCTAGTGTTTGAGTCAGCTACCAATCTCTCTCTGTTCTACTACTCAAATTATTAATCTTTCAAATATCTGAACCCAAATTATTGGGGTGAGGGTGAGGGTGAGGGGATGGCATTTCAATAAAAATTGAGTCTCCAGAGAGAATAAATGTTATATATATATTCTTTTTTCTTCTTCTTCTTCTTCTTCTTTTAAGATCTCCTTCCATGGAACATTTTCTATAAAATCTCAAGTAAAATCAATTCCTCCCCACGCCTCCCTGCGCAATGCTTCAAAATATGTGAAGAGAGTATGGGAAATAACTGATGACCCAGAATCATGTGTAGAACAACAAACAAAACAGACCCGTCTGGAACTGAATTCAAGCCAACACCGCCACCAATGCAGCAGAGCATAAGCACAACAACAGGTTTCTTAGTTTCAGCATCCCATCACAGCGCAGTTATACACAAAATTAGCAGATCGCTTCCTTGCAAGCAAATCCCACCTTGGAGGGCCTTCACTTGGAACCCATGAATTCAGCTCTATATACCCTTCCCCTACAACCCTTGGTCCACCAATCACTATTAGCCTATCTCCACAGGCTCTGAACGCAAGCCCCCAACCATTTGTTGAAACTGCTCGTTCAGGCAACCTCCCTACGGTAGACCATACTCTCTTCTCCTTGTCGTATTTCCTCACCTCCATGTCAGTGTGGTCTGCAGCATACAGCTCGTTGTTCACCACCGCAAGTAGAGGGGGCGCTTCAGCTGCCGCACTTTCACTATCCCTAACTGCAGCACTCCGCCCAGGTGACATGTTGGGAATTTCAGTCCACTTCCCACTTTCTAAATCGTACTCTTCCCCACATGTAAGAACCTTCCCCTCACTTCCTCCAACTCCCCCAATCACATAGAATTTATCGTCCATGAACACTCCAGAACACAGCTTCCTTGGCTTGGTCATATTGGGAAGGGTCACCCATGTTTCAGTCTCGGAATTGTAGAGCTCCGCAGTGTTAAGGATGTTGCCTTTGGAATCACACCCACCAGCTAAAATCGCTATCTCCCCTAGACTAGCAGACCCAAACAAGCATCTGGGATCATTCATACTCACTCCAGGACACCACGAATTTGTCAATATACTATATCTATATGTGACATGGGAATTTAAATCCTTACCAAAAACAAGAAGATCAGTCCCCACTCCTAAGGATTCCTTATCCGAGCACATGAAACATTCATTAGAATCCATCCTGGGCAAATGCATCCATCTACGCTGAATTGGATCAAAAGCCTCCCACTCGAGAAGATGGCAAGAGAAGTAAACCCAGTGTTCAATCACATGGTTGAAACGCCTCAGCTTGTAGAGCTCCCCACTACGAATTAAGGAACGGAAACTTCGACTCAAGGACGCAATAGAACCATAATCAGAGCGAGAGCAGCGAATTAAGCAGTTAATAGAGTTGTCCCGATCAATGGAAGAGAAGAGAGTGGCGGAATCAGAAGTGTTGCCGGAATGGGAGTCGTGATTTGAATGATCCGAGGAAGATCGAGGCCTGACGTTTCTATGAGAAGAAGTGGAGGATGGAAGAAGTGAATGGGCATCATGATCTGATGGGGGGCGTTTGGCATTTCCCATTCCAACCTCGAGTCGACACGTTAAGTTAAAGCAAGCCAACTGAGTTTGGTGGTGGCAAGAGCTTGAGAACACCCTGGACGCTAGAAAGGAGCGATCCTCCAACATATCGCTCTCAGATGCAACAAATAAAAAGGAAGGCGAAATTTCAGAGTTCCAATCCGATCCGATGTGTTCTTCCTTCTCTTTCCTAGTCAAAAAAAAAAAATAAAAATAAGAGAATCCCACAGCTAGAAAGAATCAAAAATCAAAGCCCAGGTTCCACTAAAAAAAACTTGGGGGGGTGGGGGGGTAGAACCAGCAGCTAATATAATCAAAACCCAATGCAGCTTTTTTACCAAAACTATAAATTTTTTAATATAAAAAGATGAAAGCCACAGATTTAGAAACCTGACTTTTCCATCACCAAATCGTGAAATAACCCAGAACCCCGAGCTTTTGCTATTGCTATTGCTATTCCACAAACTTTTCAAGTAATAAATAATAAACAATTCTAAATTTATCGCACTCAATTCGCCCACCCAATCTTCTCAATTCCGAGCTTAAAATTAATATAATTAACAACACAATGTCGCAAAACTCGCCCTACAAACCAAAACGCCACCAAAATTTGAAGAGAGAGGAAAATAAAAACAGAGGAACAGAGAGGATGAAACGATAAGCTTCCGAGTGCAACCCTTTCCTCGAAATCAAATAGTAAAAGAAAAAGGATCTCAAAATCTAGAGAAAAAAAGAAAACCCAGAAAATTCGAATCACGATTGAAGAAACCGTCGAAATCAAGAAATCAAAATCTGGGCCATCGAGAGATCTGTTAACGATGAGGGTATAATCACAATCAAATTATGAATGAGTTGCTGCTATAAGAAAGAATGGGAAGAGGGGGACTTACTTAATAATGGATAACAGAAGAAACAGAGCGTTGATTGGAATATTTGAAAGGGGAAAATTAAAACTTAACGAACCGAGTGTGTTGTATTGTCTATCTGTTCTTGCAGACAAAAAAAAAAAAAAAAAAAAAAAAA